TCTGGTTCTGACCTTGCCCCGTCGGCTGTTGGACATGCTATGCTGATGATCCAGGATTATACTGTATCTAATTGGTGGTGGTACCTTGAATCTGCTCAAATGAGCTCTGAACTACCTAGACATCATCATTACCAGCTGGTGCTGCTTCTTGATAGCTTCGACGGATGTGGAATGTTGTAATAAGCCAGTCCAATCTGATCAATTGGATATCCATGAAACACCTCTTTCATGGTGTTGTGGAATGTGTTTAAGAAAACTTCATTATGGTTCAATATGGCGTCATGAACAGATTTGTTTACAGCCTCTACGAAGAAACACCTGTCTTCAGCTTCATCTGTATCTGTCTACCCATGCAACAGAACTCTTGGTAGTGGATATTTCTGAATAATTTTATTGTCACATGTCTTGGTGTAGGACAACAAACACTTGTTCTAGAATTTTTCTATAGCTTTGCTGATGACATCTTTATCTTCATCTGGTAGGTCTTCATAAGGCACCATAAGAATGTCATTGTTGTTGTAAGTTGCCATGACGATTGTGGGGTCCCATCGGGCATGCCACAATGTGTGTTGGCGCAAAAACATGTCGATGCGCCGAGGCACACAACAAGTCGGTAGGATCTGCTTAGGATGAGCCCGGAGATCCGCTTGGCTTCATCGTAGGGTAAACCGATCCTACGAATTCCTCCCGAGGCGTGCCAGTCAATTTGACCTGCAATTGACAAGGAGAGAAAGTTTATCAGTAATTTAAGGTAGAACATGCTGGTCTTTGCCTAGACAGTTCCAAGTATGCCGTTTCGGGAGCAGCCAGATGGGAAAATCGACTAAATAACCGATACGCAAAGAAATGGCTGTTACAGACAGTAAAGCTTATGGATTACGATTGATTTTATGTTGATGAATACAATGCCCGCAGATCTAAGTGAAATCATCAGCTAGGTGGATATTACCAATGTGAATCATTGAGCCGATGAATCTAACGAGAAAGGATATAGCATGCGAACAAATCAACTGTCTAGTACGAATGGATCTACAAACGCTCTGAATCTAATCTGTTACCATCAACAGTGAGGTTCAACCAGATCGATGGCAGCTATGATGATAATCACAAACTAAAACCAAAGAATCCGTAAAACCATCTATACGTCGATAGACTTTCCGAAAGATACACTATATGTGTGGATGCCTAGGCGAATCGACTGAAATAGCCAATTCAAGTGAAAAGATACTACAATATGTGAACAATCGATTATTTCACGTGGATAAACCTATGAACTAATCAGACTTAACCTACCATCTCTAACAGTGGGGTTTGACCGGATCGATGGTAGCCGTGATAAAGACAACAAATCAAACCTTTAAAGTACACAGATCTATTCACATTTAATAGAGTCATGAGAATACACTGCTGGTGTTAAAGCATAGGCGATTGGCTATTTAGCCGATGCAGGCATAGCAAACAGTTAAGGTCATGCCTGATCGAGAACCAATCTACCAACTAGCATCCTCCAATCTAAAGTGCTATCAGTGGGGATCGACCGGATCGTTATAGCCATAATAGCGAACCGTAGACCAGATTTAACTAGACAGCAAACCTCTTCAAGATCATACGTGCCTTAACCGCGTACTATGCATGTTCAAGATCGAAATAGAACAGCCGAGGAAACATAAACCGTCGCTTAAAGTAAGTAATATCGTGTTGTAGCAAGGCAAACGACGGACTAAAAGGGTATGAGGTCGATCTAGATCGATCTTGATCGGGCATGTTGATGTTGCTGAAATTAACGGCAATAAGAACATCAGCAAGATCGGTAACTTAATAAATCTACCCGAAGGACGCCACCCTTAGGTAGAGCCGATAACTTGACCTTAATCTAATTCGAGCAGTGGAGGTCGACCGGATCGATGCAGCCGTACTTGAACTAGATAAGAATCGATAACTAACTTATACTAGAGTTCACAGTGGAGGACGAACTTAACCGATGCAGCCGTACAAACGAAAGTATAAGCCATGACGGTACTTACAGACAAGCCAGAGGTCGGCTGGACCGATGCAGCCCTGCTTGTTGAAGAACTCGTCGAGATCTACTCTACTCCTACTCCTAAGGGTTGGCACGGAGCCTAAAAAAAGTAACTTGTATTGATTGATTGGATGTCTTTTATAATAGTCGGGGTCAAATATTTATACTCGGAACCTAAGCATGAATCCTACTTAAGCACGACTCATTACAATCTTTGGCACAAGAGAAAATATTCCTAATTTAAGATAACTTGGACTCTAATCTTTTCCTTTTTATAGAGTCCGACATATTTTTCGCGACACCAACCGTAGCTTTTTTTGTCATTATCTGCTGGCGTCATGTGAAGAGAGCCGATTCCCGTGCTGCATTTGAATCAGCTGATATCGACCTTTATGCAATCGATTCCTTGATGACACGATCTTGGGAGCTTTGAGTTCCCGCATTCTTCCTCCTAAATTTTGGTGTAAATAGTATCATTTCAAACGGGTAAAAATTTTAGAAGGTCTTTCACTTGCAATATATATATGATCAGGAAGCATAGTAAAAAAATGGTCTATCGACAAGAGCTAACAAATGTTATCGTCCTCTTAACATGACACTTGTGAATTATGTGGCCAGCAAAAAGAAAATTGTTTTCATTCCACGAAAATATCATGTGTCCTCATGTTGTTGCTCTACAACAAGCATGACATAGTATTGGGCTCTACGTAACGTGGACATATGTTAGTCAGGGCCAGAATGGCTAGTTCTGATCATCCATAGTATGTAATCGAGGTCATTCAAACTTACTCTTGCTCATTTGATGTATTTGGAGTGTCAGAAAAGATGTGTTGCAGATGAGATTTCTAATAGTGAAGCAGGTTTTGTTCCATTGTTGGGATCAGAGGAAACAAATGCAATAGCATGTTTGGAAGGCATGCGGCTGGCTGCTCTCAGGTGGGTGAAGTGGTGATCCTTCAGCTCAAAAAGGTTTGTTTTGATTTTCAGTCATTCACATTAGAGTTCATCACTTCCTTCAGCCAGGTTATTAGTTCTGTTTTACTAATTATCTATGAAAAATTGCCTATTTAGAGATGCAGAGAAGTTTCGCAAGAGTTTGTCTCCATATTGTTGTAATGCTTTTTTTTTGTATTTTGTTTTGGAGTCCGTGAAGGAAACAATCACTTGTTCTTATTGCGTCAATGTGCTTCTATCAAAGCTGATTCCCCTGCTGTTCATCATAGCATAAATCTCATGCATATAAATATTAGACAGGTGAACAATATTTGAGGAGGGCTCTTCCAATTTGAGCTTGAAGTCCACCTGAACCACCTCATGCATATCAATTAACCATATTTTTGCTGGACTTTTATGGTATATCAATTAATTTTTCTCTGATAATGATATCAATTAATTATTGGATCACCGGTGTGTGTGATTGGATAACTTGTTAGTGTTTTAAATGGCATCTTGGAATTTTCTTTTCTACAATTATGGATTGCAAACAAAATCTAGCGTACACTAGACATATTTTACCTTTTATATGGTTTGGTGCATCCTTGGGTGTTGTTGGCAGTTTCTTATGTACATGCTTGTATATATAATAACTGAATAATGTTGTAACATTGCAGAGATGTTGAGAAAGTAGAAGCTGTAGCATGCTCGAGTCTAACAGCTCGTGAGTTTTCTTTCTTTGTTTTTCTTTTGTTGACACGTGCAAGTACAACCTGATCGCTCCTTGGTGCCATTGATCGCCCATGAGCTCAGCAGGAAGGTTGGTAGCTGCAAAGCTCAAGAATTGATAAGTTTGGAGTGGAGCGAATTAAAGTTGTGCATGAACATGTATGTTTGGCCAATATGTCATGTCAGAGACTGAGTATTGTTTTTAGTTTTGTGTCAAGAGTCTTGTTTTGGACTTAAGGGCTTTGTTGTTGTTGTCTTGTTTTATAATGATATTGTTGATTCCGTGATAATAAAGCTCTCTTTGGCAAAGAGGTGGGTGTCCAGTAGTAATTTTGGGTCCATATCTTTTCAAACTAAGTATTGTGCTGGTAAACCATTTTTTGTTGTGTGGTTTGCATTATTAAATGTCACCGTAGCGTTAGCATGGGCATTAGGTAAATAAATTTTTTGGTTGTGTGATTTGCATTACCAAATGTCACCGTAGCGTTAGCATGGGCATTATACTAGTTTGTTTAATTTCTCGCTTTCTTGGGAATTTTTTCTTTATTTTATTTATGGAGGTAATACATAAATAAATGCTAGCACATCCTTCGCTCATATTATAATGCTGAACAAATCCTCCTTTTAAGCCGTGTCATAAAAAAATTAGTGACATTTGTTACTGCATACAAGGACCTTCATCAGACTCTGGATGAAATTAAAAAATTATGTTCTTCACAACATACTACTGTCGTACTGCCTGAGAAATTGGATGCTGGACTTTGATGCGCTTGTACTCTAAATGGCTCTTGCGTATGGTGCATGAATGCCTCATATGTTGTACAGGACATGCAATGCAACTTTCATGGTTGGTGTGACCACAATTTGACTTGTTTTAGAATTTTCGCTTGGCCACCTTGCCCTGATTTGGCTATGGCCAAATTTTGGTTCGGCTAGCCTGCGTCATAGTCCAAACAAGCCCAAAATATTGATCCATGGGTTTAGTATCAAAAAATTTAATTACTCATCAGTTTTTGGATGACATACGCTCAGAATTTTATTTAATTTAAACATGCAAAATATATTTATTACTGAATTTACGTTTAAATCATTTTTCTTGGAGATTTTCCTCCGATATATTATTATATGTATGAGCATATATTTTCTCTGACATTGTATACAATTTCTTGGAGATTTTTCTCCGATATTACAATATACATTTATTATGTCGAAAAAAAACTTGAAATGACGAGAGTAATACCGAAGCAAGCAAACAGATCGATTTTATTGCATTGCCATGAAACAGACGCGCGGATTTATTAAACTAGTAGCTATCTATTCAATGTTGGGGGCAGCAGCACTCCCCTGGAGGCCCAACACTTTTACAGTAGGCCTTATCGCTCTTGAGGTGTTCGTGCTCGCATAACCTGCGGCACCCATCCACATTACAGGGGTACTGCGAGGTTCCGGCGTGGAAGCACGGAACAACAAATGGACGTGGATGATATGACTCCGTGCCTGCAACACACAAGAAGAATTGTTAGTTACAGTGTTAGGCAAAATCATGTGAACATGCATCGAAGGTGATGTAAAACAATGGTTGGTGCCTACCGATTGCACCAACGCAACAAGTGGATGTGGAAGATATGAGTCCCGCAACCAAGAAAACAGCGATGATTGCGCTCTTGATGATGAGCGCCATGGGGAAAAAGCTGTGAAAAAACTTCTCTTCTCGTGGGGAGGAGAATCTTTATTTTCTTCACCATTTTTCTGTAAGTGTGCAGGTCTTTATATATATTACACAGAAGAAGCAATCAACTATCCAGTAGTATGAATGATGAATCTAATCAGATATTCTCCATTAGTGCTCTGATATCTGGACATCCAGATTGCATAGATATACCGTCTTAGGATGGAATAATAATATCGGAATTAATATCCAATTCTTATATTCATTTGTGCAATACATGGGCCAGGTTTCATTTTCTCTCGCAAACTGAGCTACCTTGTGGTGAAAATTGCGCACCCAGGCTAAAGTTATCGACTTAGCATGGGTGCTCGCATTTTTCTAGATTTATTTCAGAATTTAACGGTGTTATACTTTCAGTGGTAGACAACGTTCCTGTCGACGGCGAGACGCCTGTGGTGACTTTGTCAATCTCGATATATGCCGGCACAGTCTTCCGAAGGTGCTCAGAGCAACTCCAACAGGCCCCCTACTTAAGCCCTCATATTCAGGCAAAAAAAAAAAACCACTCCAGCAGGACCTCTCCTAGGGCCCCAAAATTTGCGTGGGCACCCAAATCCGTTGCTCTTCTGTTGCTCTTCTGTTTCACTCGTTCCTAAAGGCTCTAGACCTGGCCCCCCAAATCCATTGCTCTACTGCTTCACTCGTGCATGCCTCCGTCCTCCCTGGCACGCTCGCCCTCTCTCGCTCGTGCCGCCACTCCGACGACGGCAAGGACCAGGGACATGCCCCGTGAACCGACGACGACGAGGACGAGGTATGCGCCCGACACCCCGGCGCGGGCGAGCTCGAGCTCCTCCTCCATCTCTGGCCTGCGAGATCTGGCGGCATGGTCATGCTCCTCCGTGACTCTGGCCAGGTACGGCCTCTCCACCGCACGAAGCGAGGCAGAGAGGCCGGGTCTCCTCCGTCATCTCATCGCGCTCGTGGCCGGCAGCGAGGCAGAGGTCGCGACCGGGTCAGCCCTAGATCCTCGCGCCTCTGCGATCACGGACAGCTCCTATCGTCGCGCTTGTGGCCGACAGCGAGGTAGAGGTTGCGACCAGGTCTGTCCCGCTCTTCTCCCTTTCCTCATCGGGGGCATCTGCACCGCATCCGTCGAGGCGTCGTCCGCTTCCCTACCGGTGGCAGTCGGTTTCTTTATTTTAGCTGAGTAAGTCTATGACGAGTGGGTCCCAGGTGTCATTCATAGAGATAATGAATTTGGGGGCTCTATTTTGAGGGCCACTGTTGGAGTTTAGGTCAAAAAACAGGCCCCCAAAAGTGGGGGAGCACCCAAATATAAAGTAGGGTCCCTGTTTTGGGGCTATATTGCTGGAGTTGGTCTCATAGGGGTAGGGTTTGCATGCGTGTGTTCATAGGATGGGTGGGTGTGCGTGTTGTGTGGGTGCGTCTGTACTTGTATAATTCACAAAATAAAAGTTTTCATTTTCTCTCTCCAAGTGCTATTATTCGCTTGTGCTTATTTATCAAAGCAATAAATATCTTCAACTATTTAATAACTCGTTAATTTGCATCCCTCAAGAAAAGATCCTTCGATATCTCAAGGCTTGTCGGCTCCAAATCTTGTTCGAAAAGTATCCAAGAGACTAGGTAAAATTAGATGCTAAATTATGAGATTTAGCCATTATGTAAAATAGAAAGTCCATCTAAAATGTAGAGTTTTAAAACAGCCTAGCTAAATTGAAAACACAGATAGCAAGCAGGACTCGCTAGGAACATATAGCCAGCAAGAATGGTGGGATAGCCAGATGAGAAAAATAGAAAACAATATAGACAAGTTGTTGGAATGTTTTTTTTAGCACAATGGCTATAAATGGCTTCACGAATATATTTACCCAGTCTGTTGGAGCTGCTCTAAATATGTGAATATTTTCTCGGACTTTTGAATTCTAATAAGTAAATTAATGCATTTAATCTCCACCATCTAACTTATTATTATCTTTTTTCTCCAATAAAAAAATGGTTTCTTATCTAAATACTTGGATTCCATTTATCTATTATTATACTACTAGACTAGAATAAATATGTCAACATGCAATTCTCATGTTCATATCACTGCTACAAAATTGTTTTTAGCAATACATCTATTTTTAGTAGAGGCTGCTCTATCTAAAACCATATCTAAGAATAGTTTCCGAAACGACCTACCTCTAAAAATCCATTTTTGACATGAAAATTATATTTATTACTGAATTTATGTTTAAATTGTTTTTCTTGGAGATGTCTCTCTCTCTCTCTCTCTCTCTCTCTATATATATATATATATATATATATATATATATATATAGAACTACTACCCTATAGCTGGCTACAAAATAACTTATTCTGTAGCCACTTTGAGTTACGATAATTACTATGTTAATTTACGAGATTATAGTAACTCTTTACTAAGTGGTTTACTATAACGTTATGGTAAATATCCCCATGTGTTATAGTAACCCAACTATCGTAAATATGTATTGACATTATCGTAAATAGTATATAAAATTATCGTAAATGGAGGTGGCTACAGAATAACTTATGTGGTAGCTGGCTACTGAATATACTCTCCCTATATATATATGAGCACATTTTTTCTCTGATATTGTATACAGTTTCTTGGAGTTTTTTGTCTGATATTATATACAATTATGGAAATAAAACTTCAAATGACGAGAGCGCCAGTAATACAAAAGCAAACTTATTTTATTTTATTCTCATCATCGAAACAGTCCCCTACTCATTTGGGCAGCAGCACACCCCTGGAGGCCCAACACTTTTACAGTAGGCCTTATCGCTCCTGTGGTGTTCGTGCTCGCATAACCTGCGGCACCCATCCGCGTTACATTACAGGGAGCAGGGGTGTCCTCCGTGCCTGCACACATGCATGGAACCAACACAAGAAGGAGAAGAATTGTTAGTCACAGTCAGCAAAATCGTGCCTACCGATTGCAGCAACGCAACATATGGATGTGGAAGATATGACTCCAAGAACCAAGAAAACCGTGATGATTGCACTCTTGATGATGAGCGCCATGAGTAGAAGCTGTGAAACTTCGGTTCTTCTGAGGAGGGTAATCTGTATTTCTTCTCCATTTCAATACCTGTGCGCAGGTGTTTATATATTACACAGAAGACGAAGTTAACTACTATCCTGTAGATATGAACGATTTTAGTAGTTTTGTTGTCTTATGAATCTAAGATATTCTGCACTAATGCTTTCATGTCTCACATTGAAATATACCATCTTAGGCTGCGATAAATGTCTCGAGCTCTCGGTGTATTTTCGGTGAGGCGTCGGACTCAGACGCCTTGGTCCAACCGTTTTGGCCGGACTGAGTCTGACGCATTTTGGCGCTCTCTGGACCTCTCTAGACTGCATCGGACCTGGTGACGCATGGTCCCGCCGGTTAGTCCAGCGCTGGGTCTGATGGTGTCTGTGTGCGCGGCATAGAGCCGTAGGCTAGCTAACGGTCGGCTAGGACACATGGCTGCGCGACATTGAAAGCGGCAAGGCGTCGGACCGAAAGCTCATGGTCCGACAGCACCATGTTTGGTGCGTCCGACAGTCCGTTTGAGCCCAACGGCTATGTGATCTCTCGGGGGTCTATTTAAGGGGCTTGGCCGGCCATGGCTCTCTTGGCTATTTTTATAGCTGATACAACCTTCTGAGCCTAGCCATTCACCTCTCACTCACTTCCTTTGATTTATTCATCATTTAGTGAGAACTGAGAGCATCCAAGTACATTGCTTGAGTGATTGCATCTAGTGGCACTTGGTGATTATGTTTCGCTGCGGATATCTCTTGTTACTCTTGATGGTTGTCGCCACCTAGACGGCTTGGAGCAGTGGTGATCGTTGAGCGGTGGGTGGTGATTGTCTCTGACTCCGATCAGTGATATTGTGAGGGGTTCTTGTACTTATTCCCTAGCGGAGCGCCAAAAGCAACTCTAGTGAATTGCTCGTGACTTGTGTACTCTCATATTATGTTGGTTCTTACGGTGCCTTTGTGTAAGGCTAGGCGTCTAATGCCTATTAGCATGTGAGCCACCAAGTAAGTGTGTCGTCATAACAATGACGTACACTACGTAAAAAACATTTTTTAGGGGCGGTTGGTAAGCCTTTGTAGGGGCGGTTTTACCAGCCGCCCCTATGAAAGGGTGGCTACAAATCACTGATTTGTAGGGGTGGTTCCCAGACCGCCCCTACAAATCGATTTGTAGGGGCGGTGATCTTATAGCCGTCCTACAAATCGATTTATTAGAGCGGCTGATATCTGTAGTCCGCCCTACAAATCGATTTGTAAAGGCGGTCTGGGAACACGAGCCGCCCTTACAAATCGATTTGTAGGGCGGCTACAGTACCAACCGCCCTACAAATCATTTTTCCGCCAAAAAAAATTAAATTTACAATAATATCAGCTTACATCAACAGCAACATTGATGCAACAGTCTTCTTCATGGTACCTTGATGGAACTACTGCATTGCATTCACAAGGAGGCACAACAGATCACCTAACATCAGCACTATCTTATATACAATGCCAACACACAATGTCGAAGGTGGTTGGCTACTCAAGAACAACAAAAGGACACCAAATAAAAAGTATATCCATCAGAAAATGGTGTCTACTGTCAGCCTCCTCTTGGGAGGTGACTTCTCGATTATCTGCTTCGCAAGTCCATATCAGCTGACGAAACCTATTTGCTATCGACTCCATATCATCTTCGTGCCAGTCACAATCTTCCTGTAGTCAACAACTGAAGTGAATCAAATGAACTTTGCTAAGCAGCATGCTTTTCAGGCAACAGTAATTCAGTAATAAACTTGAAAAGCTCAAACGGTAGCTCAAATCACCTTGAAATATTTGCTTAGTGCCATCCGATCCAAAGCTTTGATCATGCATCTCCTATCAAGGGATCATGCGACAGCACAAGGTATCCCTGCTGTCTGAACAGCATCCAACCATTCTC